TCCTATTATTAATTTCATTCTTAACCCAAGATTTAGGTCTTTTTAATTTCTATCATTCTCTTTCCAATTTCACACTTTCATTCGTTAACCACTGAGTCAATGATCCCAAATCATTTCATAAATTGAAAACCTACATCTACATGCCTAAATCGAAATCGCCGACTGCCTACTCTGACTTTCCCTCTCCAATGCCCATCGAAGCCGCGACCTCCAACCACGACCACCGATCGTTGACCATTAAAAATCTGTTAAAAATTTTAATTATGGTACGGAACGGAACTGAACTGAACGAAACTGAACCTGAATGGTTCCAAAATTATATTTAGACCTAACGGTTCCATTTATTAAATACCCGAAAGTTTTGGTTCGGTTCGATTCGGTTCTCTTCAGAACCGAACCAAATTGAACCAGATCGGACCATATCCAGCCCTAAGCTACTTAGCTTCATGGATGCTTATTCCAGTACAATCAAATCTCGATGTACGAACCAAACCAGGAATACACTTCATTCATCAGTGATCGGGGTCTCTACTGTTACAAAATGATGCCCTTCGGCCTTAAAAATGTTAAACCCACATATTAACATCTTGTGAATACCATGCTCTCTAAGCAAATTGGCAAAACAATGGAAGTATATATGGATTATATTCTGGTCAAGAGCACGATAGTAAAGGACCACCAACGACACATAGTTGAGATGTTCAAAATTCTAAGGAAATACAAGATGAAATTGAATCCACTCAAGTGTGCTTTTGGGGTAAGTTCGAGAAAATTCCTAGATTACATGGTTAATCAAAGAGGGATTGAAGCAAGTCCAGAAAAGATACGTGTAATCATTGAAATGAGCACACCTACTTACCCTAAAGAAGTTCAAAGTCTCACTAAGAGAATAGCTGCACTTAGTCGTTTCATTTACAAGTCTACGGATCGATGTAAACCCTTCTTCGACATGATACGAGGGTAAAAGAAGTTTGAGTGGACTTCAGACTAACAAAATGCTTTTGAAGAACTCAAAAGACAGTTAGCTCAACCACCGGTCTTATTCAAACTTGAGGTAGAAGAAGCGCTAGCATTGTACCTTATCGTTTCTTAGCACGTCGTTAGTGCCTTGCTAAATCGAGAAGAGAGAGGGACGCAGTTCCCTATTTATTATGTTAAAGGAACCTCATTACTTTCCCTTAGAGAAGTTGGTTTACACAATGATTATTGCAGCTAAGAAGTTGAGGCCCTATTTTTTGGAGCATCCAATTAAAGTTTTGACAAATTATCCTCTAAGAAAAATTCAGTAGAAACCCGATACTTCGGGATAGATGGTTAAATGGACTATCGAGCTAGGCCAGTTTGACATAAATTATAAGCCACGTAATGGGATAAAAGGCAGGCTATAGCTGATTTTGTCGCAAAGTTGAGCACCAACCTTTTAGAATATCAACTCAATAACACTCCATGGGAACATCTCGTCAATGCTCTTTCATTGAAACTCAGTAGTGCTAATCAGCTCAGACTGCCACCATTTCTGTCAAGTCTTCACATTTGACTTCAAAGCCTCAAATAATGAAGCCGAATACGAAACACTAACAGCTGGGGTAAGGATAGCAAAGGAATTGAAGATCCCCAACATGATTATATATAGTGACTCTTAGCATATAGTCAATCAGATCAATAAAACTTACGAAACAAAGGAAGAAAGGATGAAAAACTTCCTTCAAGTTGTTAAGAAGGAGTTTGAAGATTTCAAAACTATTCATGTAAAGCAAATTCCAAGAGCGCACAATAGCCACGCCGATGCCCTAGCTAGGTTGGCCACGAGTGACAGAATAGAAGAGGTTGATAGTGTCCCCATAGGATGACTTAAACACTCCGCCATTGAGAGGGGAGGTGTGATTTTCATGATTGTACACCCAAAACCCAATTTTTTAGACGAAATCAACACATACCTCAAAACTAGAACATACCTTAGTTCAGATTGTTTAAGATCGGGTCTTTTAAATTTTTCCTTTGGGAAAAAGTTTTGTGAAGGAAAGTTTTGTTTAATTATTGCAGCACATGGAACTTTTGTTTGAACTACTTAAGAGTTGGTCCTTTGAATTTTCCTTTTTGAGGAATATTTTAGTTTAAGTGTTGCATCACATGCAACCTTAATTTGAACTGCTTAAGACCAGGTCATTTGAATTTTCCTTTTTGAGGAAAATTTTAGTCTAATTGTTGCAGTACATACACTCTTAGGTCGAATTTCTTAAGAGCGGGTCTTTAGGAGCTTAGTGAAGACACTTGTCGAGATAAGGTTTACTTGAAATAAAGGTCACATGATTGCATTCGAAAAGTAAATCTCCTATTCTACTAATAATATCTTTTAAGATGTTCGGTATTCCATGGATGTAGTAGGGTCCTTCCTCGCATATCCTCTAGCTTGTAAGCTCCTTTAGATAGGATTTGGATTACCTTATAAGGGGTCTTCCCAATTTGGACCCAGAGTTGGTTTCTCGGGTGGCAAGAAATACCTCTATTAGCACGAGGGATCCGACTTTTAATTCCTGTTTGCGTACTTTTTGATTATAATATTTAGCGTTACGTTGCTTGTAGATGGCATTTCTGATTTCAGCCTCGTTTCTTTTTTTCTTCAAGTAAATCTAGCTCAACACGAATGGCATCTTCATTCCCTTTCTCCTCGTGTGCCTTAGTCTGGAATGAAGGAATATGTATTTCCAAGGAAATCACAGCATCTTCTCCAAAGGCCAAAGAAAAAGACGTTTCTCTTGTACTGGTCCTTGAGGTGGTGCGATATGACCACAATACGTTGGGAAATTCATCTGCCCATGATCCCTTAAGGTTGTCGAGCCTTGCCTTGAGTGTATACTTAATGGTCTTGTTAATCGCTTCCACCTTGGCATTAGCTTGTAGGTGATTGGGGGTGTAGAAAACAGTTTCTTTATGCTAAATTCCTAGCAAAAGCTTGCTAAACAGGCATTATCAAATTGATTTCCATTATCGGTCACAATGGAGTGAGGTAATCCATATAATGGATTTCCATGTGAAGTATGTTGTTTTTGCTCTGTAATCTTGGCGAGAGGTTCGACTTCAACCCACTTAGTAAAATAATAAAATTATAAGTTATACATGCAATAGATGTCATACTTTACATCGAGTACCAAACTAAACTTGTTTATTTTTTTCAATTTTCCTGTCAAAACTAAATAATTGAACATGTTTCGAATCTTATTTTTCTCTCAATATAAACTTCCTCATAGATGTCTATCCAATTCACACTGACCCACCCGCTTTCGACTCTTTAAAACAAAAAATTGACTCTCCAACGTATTTAACGTCAAGAGGCTGGAATGTAAAAGTTATAAGGATAATTACATTTTAATTCCAATAAAAGTTTTGCTGATTTTTCGCACTTATGTTGTCAATTTTTTCGCATTCTTACCATTGATCTTCTATTTTTTGCATATCTTGTCTTTATCAAAAATCTGTTAGGAGAGCATAAAAAGATTATTTGCCTCTCATATTTTTAAATAATCAAAAGTATTAATAAACACAGAAGCATGACAAAATATTTTCACCTCAGTTTAATACATATTAGCAGAATATTTGAACAAAAGTAATCATCAAATACAAGATCTGCTACTTTAAATGAATGTTAAAATTTTAAAAGCAATAAAAAAAATTGGAGAAATAAATGTCTAAATGAGAAAAAATCGAAAGACTCATGCAATTAAAACGTGTGCAAATAGTAAAAATTGTGTTCTCAATATGTCTATCCTTATTTTACAATTTTGGCATCAACCCCTAATTCACGTGAACGTTGACATTGTTGTTTCCCGTCATGTAACGTACTCTTGACCTTTGCTTTTATTGTGGAATACCCTTCTATACTTTCATTTTGGTGTAAAACCCTCTGGATGATATTTTCTTTGTGGTATACAACATTCTCTTTCATTTTCTTAATAAAATTTTGTAAAATAACGAATATATCCTCCTCTTTATATAAAACAAAAAAAAAAAAAGAAGAATTAATTGCAATGCTGATCTCAATTTTTTTAAATACAAACGTGTCCAAAATAAGTGATTAAGAAATTAAATGTAAAAAGAACAATCTCTTTATATCCCACTATCACCACCACCTCCATTGAGCATTCAACTCCAAAAATTCACACAAAAATTAAAATAAAAATTTAAAATTTTCGATAATATACCCTGCAAAAATCTAAATTACTCAAAATCCTAAAATTAAAATGTAAAAAAATTAATCAAAAAAAGTATCTATAACCATATGTACCCCAACATGCACATAGCGCGACTTTAATTCATTTCCGTCCACGTGTTGGGATGAGCCGAGCTATGGGCCGAGCTTGTGCGAGCACGAGTCGAGCTCGTGTGGGTATGGGCCGAGTCGGGTCGGCCCATTGACACCTCTAAGAGGGTATATTAATCATTTTATGAAGTTTTACTGAAAAAATAGAAGAAAAAGTTGTATTCCTTAAAGAAAATGTCATCTAAGAGGTATTCTGCCAAAATGAAAGAAAGAAAATATCTTAGGCAGGTGAAAATTAAGAATATTTTGTACCAATTACCTAAATTAATTATTAAATTTAACTCGCTAAATAATGCATTACATAAAAGTCGACCGTGATAAATCGTCACCACAGATAGAGTAATGTTATTTATTATCGCTCATTATCTAATCGTCCTACATCCTACATGACATACATGTAACATTTTTTGATGTATTAATATAAAATTTTTTTATTGTTATATGTATCAAATCATTAATTATCACATATATGTTACGTAGGACAAATGCAATAATTAACTATTGCAAATAACATTGATCCACGCATAGGTGGCAATACATCTCTATGTTTTCTTGGGAAGTGAATTTCCAGCCGTCGCACCCTAAACATGTCTGTACTTTCTTTTTCCTAAATCCCGATTTAAACCCTAGCTGAGGAATTTTTGTATACACATATCTAGCTTCCTCAAATTTCTTTCTAGCAATGGCAGAACAGAATGTGACAAGGTATCGCATAGGCTATGCATTGGAACCAAAGAAAGTGCAGAGTTTCATTCAATCCTCGCTTATTATTCACGCTAAGAACCGAGGCATTGATCTGGTTCCAATCGATCTCAGCAAGCCCTTAATCGATCAAGGTCCATTCCATTGCATCATCCACAAATTGTACGGCCCTGAATGGAGAAAACAATTGGAAGAATTATCTTCCCGAAACCCCGATGTTACCGTCGTAGACCCTCTTGACGCCATCGACCGGCTTCACAATCGGATGTCCATGCTCCAAGTTGTAAACGAGCTAAAGGTATCTCTACAAACTGAAATTTCGTTTGGGATTCCGAAGCAGATTTTTGTTGAAAATCCTGCATCCTTTTATGATTTCATTGAAACAGAGGGGCTGAAGTTTCCAATAATTGCGAAGCCTTTGGTTGCGGATGGGAGCGCCAATTCTCATCAGATGGCCCTAGTTTTTAGTAAGGAGGGTTTGAAAGGGTTAAATCCCCCAATTATACTTCAGGAGTTTGTGAACCATGGAGGGGTAATTTTTAAAGTTTATGTGGCTGGAGAGCATGTAAAACTTGTGAAACGAAAGTCCTTGCCTGATATTTCGGAGGAGACACTGGGTACGTCGGAGAATTTGTTGTCATTCTCGCAGATATCGAATCTAACTGCTCAAGATCAGAGTGATGAGAGCGTTGCTAGGCTGATTGAAGAGGCTGAGATGCCACCGTTGAGTTTTGTCACTGAAATAGCTTATGGGTTGAAGCAGGCTTTAAAATTACACCTTTTTAACTTTGATGTGATAAGGGACAGTAGGGTTGGCAACCGATATCTTGTGATTGATATTAATTACTTCCCGGGGTATGCAAAGCTGCCCTCATATGAGACTATTTTGACAGATTTTTTTCATGATATTGTGCAACGGAGGACAAATTTGGATGACCATTTATCAGCGTAGGTGTTTTGGAGCAAAAGTGGAACCCTTTACTTGTTGCAGTGATGATAAAAAACAACATTGATTTTGGATTCATCTCAGTGTATGACCGGCATAAAGGATTTGAAGTATATGCTCAATGATTTATGCTACGAGTCGTGAACGATCTGCTTCTAGGAAGTCCAGTAGTACGTTTAACTGTTTCCAAATTTCAACTTTTAGTCGAATAAATGTTCATTTTCATGCTTCGATGAAGTTGATATCCCGAGCTGTTCGAAGTTAATGTTTGGTTTCACTTATTGTCTATTCCACAGATTGACCCATTGTATGGATCAACTAACCTTTATATTGCTTTTCATTGTTGGACCATTTACTTTTCCAATTCCATTAGTTGGTAGGATATTTTGCAGGTCATTCAATTGCTTCATGCGGAATGGGATTTTGCACTAGAAACATCTTACGATCATGGTCTGCCTATTAAGCAACAGTCATTTTTGGTTTTGTACTTGCTAGAGTCCTAGGATGCATTGCATTTGACAAAATATTATCACGGATTTCAGCGGTTAAGTTTAGGTTACCTTCAGAACATTTTAAGAAAAAAATACCAGCTTGTGGTTGCATAACCTGTTGGCAGTTTTGGGTCTATGTGTTGATTATTTAATGGGTTACACAAACTCTTTTAATGTATTATAAAATATAATAGACTAGGATAAATGTGTTTCCAAGTGTAAATGTTGACCTTTTTAAAAAATAAGAAAATCCATGTTTTTGTTTTTGCGAGGAAGATGTCGGATGATAGAAAGTAAAAACATTGAACCAATTGTAACTGGAGCCATAATAGAAGTTGGTGTACTGAGTGAGGACTGATGGGCATACAAACATGTGCCTTAGAGTCTGAATCATGTCTTAAAGCTCATACTAAAACCTGAAACCAGCCCATGAAATTATCTAGTGAGAGCAGGATGAGCTGGTTAATTCCTCTTATGGTATAGAGAACCAACCTGGTTGATCCGGAACACCAGTTCTCAAAGATCTTGCAAGCTACAGTCTTAGCTCTATTCAAGCCGTTAAGGAAACTGTGCATGCAAGATGAGGAACTTTACAAGGAAGAGGAGTGAGAGTGTTCCACCTGCGAATTGTCTATAATCGGTTATAGATTCTACCACGTCTACTTGTCTTATTCAATTTTCCTCTTCTTTTATGTTTATAAGTAAGATTGTTTTCAATACTGATAATTTTTCGAGAGAAGCACTGGCACATTTGATCCAATTATGTCGGGGCTGACCTTGCATATTTTGGTTCCTATAAGGCATTAAAGATCTGTTCCCTCCATTTCCAACTGTTTACCATGAATAAATATCACCCTGATTATTATAGGGATGCGAACATTATCCTCGAACAATGAAAAATCGAGAAGAAGATACTTATTTTCTAAATGGAGTACTAAACATGAGTTTACAATGGTGACAAGAATTTATACCATCTTCAAATACGTGTTTTGAGGGAAGGCAATACCTTATATTTGGTGGATGTTCAAATATTTGTTTACATCGGAAACATTAACTGCATCTGGTAATGTTAATATTGGGTACAAACTACTCTTCTTGGTTGAATAAGTCTACATTATGAGTACTGCTATAATAGTTTGGTGGCTTTGGATAGCTAGCAGAAAAAGGAAGAATGAAACTTAAATTTGTGGAGGGAGATATATAAGAATATGATTATTCTATATGAAAGTTGGAATGGTAACATTGTCTATACTCCTGCAGGTATTTTTGTCTGTCCTGATGAAACATTGCTAATATCAGAGAAATCATATAATGAAGCCCGAAAGGCTGGACTGCTTGCTATAGTTGAGCTCTATTTTCGGGACAACAGATGATCAATGACAATGTCAAGGTTTTAATACCATGATTTAGACATCAGTTGCACACAGAATTGTCAAAGCTATGCAAGTTTTAGGCCTTTTGTTTTACATTTTGATGCTACCAAAGTTCGTGCCAGGATTGACTTGGACAGGATGGTTGAACTCCGCACGCTATGATCTTCAATACCTAAAACAAAGGCGTCGAGGTGTGTCCTCGTCGCCCATTCGATACTTAAGTCAGAGAGAGGGATTACAAAATATATGTTGGAATATTGTTGATAAAACGTACCTGAATAATGAGAAGGGGGATACATATTTAAAGGGGTTGGTAGCCGAGTCCTAGACGGACTAATATTCCCGTATGGGAGGTGTTTGTGTTGTGCTAGGATTGTGTTATCTGAGTTAGGGTGAAACTTAAGGTAACTGGAGAGTTAATGTTGAATTGAACTAGTATTCTAGGGGCACGTGAGGACACGTGAGTTAATGGATGAGGTTGCGCATGATTATAGGCCCGACCTATAATGCTCGACCTGAAAGTCATCATCTAGGAATAATGGAATGAGGTCGGGTCCTATGGGTCAAGCAGTATGGGCCCGACCTTAACTGTGGGTTGGAGCTCAGAAGAAACTGGGCCAAGGTCGAGATCGAGTTTATCATCATCACATTTGATATAACATCCGCACCCAAATTTTTGAGTCTAATTATGAGAATTAAAAATTTAGGGACTCATTTGAGGGTTAATCCATTTTCTAGGACCTTGTAACAAACTTAGTATAAATGTTAATTCCCACAAGTTTTGCTCTTTGAAGAAGGGTTGAATGCTTGATCAAACCCTTATAAAAAAATCCTTAATATATGTTTTTTGTCATATTCATGATTGACCAAACATAGGGTAATGTGTAGTGTTAATGCATGTGTATTTAGAATGTAGTATTAACATAAGGAATTAGGGAGAGATTCTTGCTCATTTCACAAATTTTTAAGAACAATTTTCAATGCTAGAATTAATAGCATTTCCACCATCATGGATTTTTCCTTAATGATGCATACCTAGTCTTGTCCTATTTAAGCCCCTCGTTCACATTCACATGCTACCATTCACTATTATTTTTTCCAGTCCAAAGAATATACACATATACATGCACATAGCTGACGTGGAAATTGTAAGAGGGATTAAACAATTTTATTCGGTTTCTATTACTCTTTTTTTTTTTAAATTTCACAGTAAGTACGCTACCTATATTCGGATTATTATTATGTTTCAAGAAAATTATTATGGGTCCCATATGGTACAATATGATTATGGTTATTTTAAGGGGGCCTGTAACGACTCGACCTTGCGCCGGAATCGTTATCGTATCATACGTACTTATCTAATTGGTATCAGGATTCAACTTAAGTCTTCCATATGATGAAAGTGTTGGATTCAAATCCTAGGGGACGCGTCAGAAAGCCGTGAGGGGTAAGATGAGCCTAGGCCCTCCCAAAGCGAAAAGTACGTATGATAAGATAATGGCTGCGGCGTAAGGTCAGGTCGTTACAAAATTGATACCAGATTCAACTTAATTCTCCCATATGATGAAGGTCTTGGATTCGAATCGTGGGGACGCGTGAGGGGTAAGATGGGCCCAGGCCCTCCCAAAGCGGACAGTACTAAATGATAGCTGCTGCGGCGCAAGGTCGGGTCATTACATGGCCGGAGTTTAGAAGCGCTACACATAAGAATTCTTACCACCTATGTTCGATGAAATTCTTGTATTTCCATTATGTTGATTATGATTATTATTATTATACTCCTTTAAGCCCCCGTTTGTTTCTCATTTTTCATCCATAAAAATGAAAAATATAACCGTTATTCATCACATCAAACCATCAATTTTAAATTTCTATCTCTTGTGTGGGGCCCAATAACGGATAGATTTTTCATTTTCATTCTACAATAATGAGAATCAAACGGGCCCTAAGTTATACATGATAATAATTCATGCCGTACTTATGAAAATTTTATAAATCTCACTCCATGATATTTCTCCTTTCAATCAATTGATGGTTCGAGACAGTCAACATAGAGATGGACACGGGCTAGGATTAATAAATTATATTGTGTTTGAAACACAATTTTTAAGTTTCTAGTCAAGGATTCGGGTCGTCTCATCCTCAACACTTTCCCAAAATAGTTGCACGGTGCCAATTAATTTCAGATTGGAAAATTGAACTCTTCGATCTTCTGGGACCCCATACCGGTAAAGAAACGATCCATATCTCTAACCCATTGAGTAAATACTTTAGGGTCTAACCAACCATCAAAGGTCGGGGCATCCAATTCAATGTTTCTAAATAAACACTCATCGTGGCAAGGAGGAAAGTGAGAATCGTAAAGGCGATGTTCCCACTCCCGTTCAAGAACTTGATGTCCGCCCCTATGGTCACGTCTAATATGTTGTCGACCACCTTGTGGATGACGATAATGTCTATTACTGGACGCTTTAGAGCTTTCAGATTCAAAGAAAATGGGGTTTGCTCAATGGTGTTCAACCTAGCAGCTAGGTCTCTATTCTCTTCACGAGTAGCAAGCATCTCAGTTTAGACAGCCACTAATTGAGCCGGTAATTGTTGTTGGTTACTAGCAAGTTGTGCTAATTGTTGGGTGATAGCATCAAATTGGGAAGGGTCCATGGTTAGGGTACTAGAAATAAATGTGATAATACGACCACTGCGCAATTGCATACAACGCGACACCAGCTAAATAAGTGCAATAAAGAGATCAATAAACAACGAGTGCCAACAATTTAAAAATAGCAATTTAAAATATTCTTTTTTTAACTTAAAATTTGGGATTACGTAAGTCCAAATATGAAAAGCTAATAATGTGGATGTTTAAAACAATAAAGTAAGGGTCCTGAAGCGAACCTGGGTACGGGATCAGCATGGAAATCGCGGAATTAATTGAAAAAATTGGGAAAGCCCAAATTCAGTTTGTAGACGATAGAATCTCGACCCGCAAATTATTGAACCAAGCAATCAAACAAAAATAAAGTTTGAATGACCTCTTGATTGCAAAACCAACGAATCTCGATTTGCGAATGCCACAAAAGGTGCCTAATCCTTTGATAAGTTCTAAGGATTGAAGGCCACAAATATAACAATATTTGATATG